GTGGGTGGCCAACATCTGCAGCCTCATTTTGGTGTTTGACTTCCACCAGGCAGACAACCCTCCACCAGCAGGACCTGCTGCTGATCACTCCCAGTTGTTCTTGACCTTTTGCCAGCCTCTGCTGGTCTGATCAGAAGGCTGGGCAACAAGGTTTAACGTTCCCAAAGTGGCTTCTTGTCCAGCTGCCAGGGACTGCCAGGCCCACGGAACTGATGCTCCGGTGCCCACCCTTTGGGACATCATTGCCCTGGAACCTAGATTGGCTCCTACCCTCCTGGCCTTTAGGAAGGGCCCACAGACTCATCTGTGGCATTGTGCCTGGGGTCCAACAGTGGTGCTGAGCCTTGGCCATGGTCATATCAAATGGGACGTATGGTTCGGTACTGACCAGCCGAGGGCGATTATGTTTTATGTCCCATGGAGTTTTTAGTCAGGGGTTTTGTAGAGTTGAACGTGGTTGCGTTTGTTTATACTTTTTATGGCTTCTGATGCTTTTAACCGTCATGAGCTGCCCAGAGTCACACTTAAGAGATGGGCGGCTATACCAGTTTGAGAAATAAATAAGTAAATAAAACACTGCACGTACATTGTTGAGGTGCTTCCACTCTTCGGCCCATTCTCGCTCGGTCAGCCGGTGATCGATCACCTCCTCTTGCCGGGAACTGTGGATGGCTGCGGGGATGAAGCATCATCAGTGGGGGGCATGAGTGGGGGTGGGAGGAAAGGATATCAACCTCTTTGGAAGCCTCAGGTCCCTGAGGAACCAGGGGGACGTTCACCCAAGTGCCTGCAAGTGGGCATGACCCGGGAGGGGCCCCTTTCCTTCAACTCTCTAGCCGGCCTTCTTGGTGCACCTGGAGGATACCCGGGCTAGGGTTCTGTTGCTGGCATGGCGCAGGGCCTCCCCAGACTAGACAGGGGCGGGGCAAAAGCTAAATTTTATCTTAATTTGATTTAATTTTAAATCAAATGATGCTCATTAAGTAGAGCTAGGATGAAACTAGGTATTTCATAGCTTCTCTCTTCTGTCATATTTAACATTAGAATCTGGGGGGAATGGAGGTGTATCCCACGGACCCCTTTTGTTCGGAGGGTCTGCAGGGGGCTCTGGGACCCCTGTGGTGGAGGGACTTTGCTTCAGAGGCACCTCATAAAGGGTGGGAGCTTCTGGTTGCAGAAGTGGGGGCAAGACACCTCCACCTGGTTGACAAGAGCGGTTTTCCCATTTAAGGCTGGGGAGGAGATGGGAGTGGGGTGGCGAGCCTAAACTCAGCCCTTTCATATGCCAGGCCACCCTTGTCGATCCTTCCCAGCCCTTCCAAGGCTCCTCCGCTGCCCAGGTCTGATCCTGCAGTGCTCAAGCAACCTCCCTTTTTGGGAATGTGCCCACCAACCCCGCCCTTCCCAGCTGAACCCCTGCCCACATTTGCCTTTTTCCCCCTCCCACCCGGCGTCCCTCGGCAGCCCCCCTTGCGCTTCCCTTCCTCACCCGCTGGCCGGGGGTGCTCCCGAAGGTCGCGAGGGTCCGGGGGGCGGTAGGTGTCCCTGTAGCGATGGGCCACGGCCATGTCCTCAAGGCGGTAGTGCTGGGGGGGAGGAGGGGTGGGGTGGGGCAGCCCGTTGGGCTGATGGCTGAGCCCGTTGCTGGGGCTGTACCGCTGGGCAGGGCTCAGGGTGCAAGGCCTTTTGCTGATGTGCTCTGCATGCAGGGCATCGCGCTCCAAGCCATTCTCTTTGGTCCTGGGCCACAGACACAAACGAAGATCAGCGCGCTACGGCGGATTCACCAAGCTGGCCAAGCCTTGTAAGGGGATTGACCCAACACAGAGCAGGCGGTGCCCAAGCACAGCCTGTTCCAGCTTCATGCCCGGACCAGGTTCACACAGCCCGCGATGATGGCCGACTGGACGGCGAACCCCTCCTCCCTCCTGGAAGCAACTTCAGTGCTTCTTCCTCGGCATCCCAAACTGGCTGGTTCTTTAGAAGAGGTCTCTGGGCTGTTCCTCAGGGGGAACTTTTGCAGTTCAACCACTCCCCTTTCGGTGTCTGAGAGTGACAGGCTTGGGGGAAAGTCTGACTTCAAAGCTTGGTGTATTCACTGATACAGCTTTGGAGCTGCGTGGTCTCCAGACCCTCTGTCACTCTGCAAATGGGAGCCATGGGGAGACCGACACCCCCTGCTTTCCAGGAAAGGCATCTTAGTTGGGGCAGGCCAGCCTAACCCTGACCCTGACCCTCCCAGGAAGGAGCCACCCCAGAGAGCTCGGATCCTCTCCATCTACCAGAGGAAACCATCGTTCACCCTGATGAGCAAAGGTGTCAGTATATGGGTCCCTGCTAATGATGGGAGCCAAAGGGACAAGACACAGATTGGCTTTGTCTTTTTTTCAACGGTCACAAGCTGCCTTGGAGACCCTCCTTCTATCAGCCTCCCTTTTGTAACTTTCCTGGATGAGGACCTGGCCTCTGGACCGTGCCACGCAGATCAAAGGTGCACCCTAAGAATAGTGCCAAGTGGGGCTCTCCCCAGCCTAGGATGCCCACCCCTTCTCTGGCTTGCTCAAGGCTCGTGTACCTGTCCGGCGTCCGCCTTTTAACCCCTTCGTTGACCTCCAGCAGCAGCTCCGAGGAGTCGATGGGGGAGGAGGCGTTGGCATCCAGGAGGAGCTGCTCGTGCTGTGCCAAGTACTGGGCGGGGGTCTGCTTGGCCATGCGGGCACAGTGGAGAAGCTCACGCTGCAGCAGGGGCAGGTTGGCCTAAACGGGCAAGAGAAGGCCATGAAGACAGAGCAAGGGTCAGCCTGGCCCTGGTTGGCGTCGACATTTTTAGAGATATCCTTCCGGGGTTATGCCCGCAGAAAAGCTTCTTTAAAAAACATTGTTTATTCATTATAGGCCAGCAACTCAATACCATGGGGTAACCGGTATCACAGAGTAACTTGGCGTTATATGGGAAATAATTCCACTGGCCCATTTTAAGTTTCCTGTTCTTATTTCCAGTGAATTAAGATGTTTCTGCATTTTGAGAAAATCTGCCTGGCTGGAGAACCCTGACAGCACCCTATGGAACCGCTTGGAGCATTTCTAGACTGTTTTTAATGTGGGTATAATTAAATCTTTTTGCACCTGACCTATCCCCAGCGGCTGTGTGACCTGCTGAAGGTGGGCGACGACAACATCTGTGCCTGGTAAATGGATGCTGTTATAGTTCTCCTCTGCGAAGGGAAAAGTAGCAGGAATGAATGCAAAAATTACAGGGGATTTATTTGCTGAGTGTGCCTGGGAAGATTTTTGGCTAAATTTGGACTGAAAAGATTCAGAAGGTGACAGTGAGCGAACTGGGAAAGCGTGGTGTGGCTTTATGCTGGCCAGCAGGGGTACAGACCAGATGTTTCCTCTTCAGTAGATTACTGAGAAATGTAGGAATGTGAGAGGGAAAAAAAGACGACTGTACGATTGTGGATTTAGAGAAAATGTATGATAAAGTGAAGAGGCTTAAATGATGGCATGTTTTGCATGAATATGGAGCAGAAGGTAGATTATGGCATGAGAAAAGTAATATATAATGAAAATTAAGGCAAATGTGCTTAGGAAATGGTTCCATTTTGAGTGGGGAGAAAGGCGAGGATGTGTTTTTCCCCCTGGATTCTTTACTCTATTGATGGATAAATGCATAAGGAAAGCTTTGGGATGTGAATATACACGTGCTCTTGTAGGCAGATGAGGTCATTTTGCTGGCTGAGGACTTAGTATAATAATTTATGAAACTTATATGCTGCCTGAGTCCCAGCGACTCCCAACTTGAGTGATCTGCAGGAAATGTTTGATTCTGCAATGCAGTGAGGAGTACAAATGTGAAAATGAAGGTATCAAAAGCCAAGGTAGTTGTGTTTCTCTAAGAATGGTGAAAATTTACAGAGAGTAGATGTGAATTGGCTTACCTTGGTAGAGGATTTACTAAAGACTGGAAAATGGAGAAATGTTAAGACTTGCCAAAACTGGTAGAAAGGTTGTGGACAATAGGCCGTATATTTGGAGGAAGGAATATTAGTTGAAAGAAGCAAAACTGTGTATACAGGCATGCTCCCCTTTGTTACGTGGCACAGCGAACGGGGTTGGCATGCAGTCATTTTAGCTGTTCCCTTTTCTTTTTCATACCTCCTGCCTTTAAATCCTTTGCTTTGCTATTTCGTCTTCCTCCTCTGCGCTCTGCTTGTCCTGAAAGGGCATCGTGTGATTGATGTGTGGGCACGCACACCCAAAGGCTGGCCTCGGCCTCCCTGAAGGCTTCCAAAGGACCCTGCGGAATATGCGCTTCGCAGGGAGCTGCTCTCCCGTTCCAGAGAAACAGGAACCTCTTTGGAGCCTCATCTCACTATCTGTCCACAGAAAACGTTCTGGCCCTCCTCCAAGGGTGGTCTGGATCTACGGGGTCGCTGTTCCCATCTCCGATGCTTTTAGCGGGAAGTGTTTGTAAACAAGCTGCGACCCCCCTCCTGTCTTCCCCACCCAATGAGTTTCTCACGGAGCTTTGTTCCAGGGAAGAGCATCCGCAGAAGTGATTAAGCAGCCGAACAGAGCGTCTGCCATCAGCCAACCCTGGTTTCCTATTTAGGCAGCGGATTGCCAGCCAAGTCCCCATCTGCTGAACATGTTAGAGCTGATGAAATGCACCACTGTGGATTCCAGGACAGCAAACATCCTCCTCCTCCTCCTCCTCCTCCTCCACCACCACCTTTTCCCTCTCTGCCTCCGCTCCACATTTCCAGAAAGAAAAATAATAAAAAGAAATAAATAACATCTCTGGGAAAGGCATGCTGGGGGCCGCCTGGTTAGAGTTAGCATAATGAGAAGCATCTGGAGCCCAGGGCGGAAAACAGCTGGGAGCAGGGTGCTGGAGAGCAGGAGAGGAGAGTGGTTCCTTGTGTGAGGTTTCCTTTCGAGTCAGAACAGGCAGAAAGGCGCCAGGGTGTGCAGGCGGCCCCAATCCGCTTCCCGGGAGAGCCAGAGCGGTGGACCGGTTGTCCCCAAGGGCTGCCCAGACTCAGGAGCAATCTGGGCATGATGTTTGTCCCACGACTGGCCTCTGGGCAAGAGCCTTTTGTTAGCAAAGAGCATGAAGGAATCAGGGTTGGAGTTGGACCACTGGGGGGACTTTAATCCTTTGCTCCCACGGTTGTCCAGCTGGAAGCCTTGTGCATGGCTGTGATTTCAGGGCTATCAGCCTTCTTTTGATGCTCTCTTGGGTTTTGCTTGGGATTAAACTATACATTGCAGCTGAATTCACATTGCGCACCTAACTCTTAACCCAGTAAACAAAACACAGCTGTCGTGTTTGTATCACATGTTGTGTATAAATACGTTAAGCCTGAGCATGGCTTAACCGAAGACTTGATTCTGACAACCTGCTGGAACCCCAAACGCCACTGAATCAGACACGGCCCCATCCCCAGTCTTGTCAGCCTGTCATGTTGTGTGAACCCATCCTAAGTCAAGCATCCAATTAACGTTTTCATCCTGGTTCTCCCCTTGGCTCTCCCCCAGTAAGCCACAGTTCTGGGGCAGAAGAGACCATCAGCACCCCAGCCACCCTGGGGGCAAAGGATTAAGTTCTCTCTTGGTCCTGCTGTGGTGGCCCTGATGAGACCTTCCTCAGCTTCTACTGCTACTTATGCACTTAAGGTAATGTGTAGTTTCACCCTCAGAAATAGAAACTTGTAGGGCAGTTTTTCCCAAACCTTGGCAATTTCCAGGTGTGTGAACTTCCACTCCCAGAATTCTACAGCCAGCATGACCGTTGATAAGAATGCTGGGAGTGGAAGTCCAACACCTGGAAATTGCCAAGGTTGGGAAACACTGCTTAGAGTTTTGTGGGAAAACAGAATTTTCTGGGTCCAGAAAGGATTCTACGGTTTCTTTGGAAACAAGGACATTGCTGCTCCAGACAATTAGGAATGGGCTGGGCGGGGGGCGCTGGTAAGGAAGAGAAGAGGAGAAAGACAAAGCTTCTCCCTTTCATGCCTCTGAAGAATGAGGGCAGCTGAAAGTGCTCGTCGCAAATTCTCCTGAAGAGCAATTTGCTTCTCCAAAAATGCTCAATAAATCTAGAAACTGAACACTGAGCTAAAGCTATGATTCTTTAGAAAATGAGAAGATTTCCAAACAAAGCCTCTTCTTACTGTGCAAAGGAGGTTTTGCACTGGCAACCCTTCTGAAATCATCCAATTCTTCTATGCAAAAGGATTTGTTTTCTGAAAAGAACTTGGCTGGGCTGGAGAAATCAACGCAAGAGGAAAGAAGACCAACAGCCAAGTGGGGAGGGAGGCTGGCACAGCTGCCGCCCCTGCAAACGTCTTGATTATCCTTTGCGCCATTAAGTCTCTACTACCTGTTCTGATTGGCAGGACTTCTCTACAGGGCAAGGGAATGGCTTTGTCCAGCCAAACTGTCTGTCCATTTAACCAGAATAGTCACTTTTAGACGGGCAGCAGCTTCTCGGGCTCCGAGATTGTCCTGGGAGCTTCCTCGTGCAAAACAGTTGCAACAGGGCCTCCTTGTCATCTTGGAGTAATTTCCTTTATGATCTTGCAGGCATCCTTGGGAACACCACCCACTTTCCATGGGAGCTGACTCATCCTCATTCCTTTCCCAGGACTCCCTGGTCCTGCAATTAGAAAACTAACCAACCAAGATTGCAGGGGATGACAACCTACTGGTGGCCGTGATGAACACCCAGCAGGGTCTTCCAAAGAACAGTGCTCTCAAAGACCTTAAATGAACGGGTTTGTGTGTTTTTGAGAGGGCTGGAAGAATCACTTCAACCGAATGCATAGGGATCCATCTCAGCAGCTGCATTTGTTTAAGCGAAAAAGGGCTGCTGGGGTAACAAAGTTCCCCTTCTGAAACGACTGATGCCAGAATCAGTGGGACTCGAATCACACAGGGTGGAAGTCTTACCTTCAAGAATGGGATGACGAAAGGACGCAGGGGGAAGTTTGTGGCCTCCTGGAGCTTAGAATGGAATTCTTCAATTGTCAGCGTGGAATTCTACAAGGTGAAAACCAAAACAGGTCAATGGATGAACTCATGATGAAGCCACAAGGGGCTTTATTCAAGCTGCCTTCTTCAAGGTCATCCTTAGAATTTTTCATTGACTCCCCAAGGCTTCCTCACTTCCATAGAATCCTCTCTTACTCCTCTGCATCTTTGTAACTGACCATGGAGGCCCTTCAAAAACTCTTTCTGCTGACTTCTGATTTGCTTCCAGATCCCCACCTTGAAAGACCTGACCTCTATTTTCCTCTTAATTTCTGCCTAGGATCTTCATTCTCCCAATTCCATTACTTTCCACTATCCAAAGTCTCCTAGTCCCTAGAACCATTCTCCCTTTTCTTTCTCTTGTTTCACATACTCATTCTTGCATACACACATCATCCGCTTCAGCTTCTGATAAAGGCCTAAGAACCAGGAAGAAAGCTGGTAACTGCTTTGTTGACCACCCGATATGTTTCAATGCGTTTCAGATAGTAAGTCACAGAATTCCCAAGCAACATGTTGGAAGTTCTGGGAAGTGCAGTTTCATCACATCTGGAAGGCGGCAGGTTGGGTCGGGCAAACTAACTGAAACCGAGGTCCAGACATATTGCATGCCAACAAACTTCAGAATGGTAGCCATGTTAATCTGTTGCAGCGGAAACAAGCAGGCTTGCGTACCTTCAGATCCAATCATTTATTTTCTCTATGCCCATCTGCCGCTCAACACAGACATACACAGGTTTGCAAACTGATTACTGTACATCAGGTGTTGGGTGAACTAGACCTTGGCTTACACAGTCTTGTACTTGTTAGCTTTTCAGGCATCTTAAGATTCTGCACTGACAGAGTCAATCCCATTAGGTGGAACCAGCAGCTGTGGTTTTCACAGCAGTATCTGACTAAGGCTGGTGGTTGCAAACAGTCCGAAGGACCTTTGACCTCCCACCACCAGAAGTGGACTGGAACTTACCACAAGGCCCAGCACCAGAGTGCGAACCCGCTCCCCTATTTCCGGAGAGATATCGCTGCCAAACTGCTGCAAAGTTGTGAGGAAACGCTTCAGCTTGCTGAGCTGGCGGGCACCGCAGGCTGGAGGAAGTTGGTGGTTGGACAGGGATGCAGTGGAGGAAGTGGCTGGCCCGTTGCTGAAGCCATTGGGGGTGGAGGGCGCTCCGTTGATCGCCGTGGGAGAATGGCTGCTTCCATTCATTACTGTGAGGAAACAGGAAAACCTTGAGGGAGCTGGAGGACAAGATGGAAAATTCAAAATTCTCTGGAAATAGAATTTGCAAATACATTTCCCCTTTCCCTTCCTGTCCTGTTATTCCCCCCAGGAGAGAGGTCCAGATACCCCCTAATATTTGTTGCTGGGGCCTGAAGTGCACAGCTGCCCTCTTAGCCAAACACCTAATTTCCCTTCCTTTCGGTATTATATTAAACCACGCCAACAGGCCCCCAGACTCAATGGCTGCTCAGTGACTTTGCCCAGGCCCTCTAGAGCCTCTCCCCACCTCTCATTTGCATGTGGTGATTACACCTGGGATGAAGTGGGCAGTAATGCAAAAAAGCATACGTGGTTATAAATTAGCTTTTAAAGCTCTGTGGTTTTTTCCTCAACTGGAAGGCTTATCTGAGTGGGGACAAAGTGAATTTTAGTCCAACACTCTGTCTGGAGAGGGAGTGCTCTAGAAAGGGTAGAGTGTGTCCTCCACTAGAAGCAGGTGGTGCACGGAGGTTGAAAAAGCTGCTCTAAAAGGTTCAACCTAGAGATGCACAGGGATTCCATCCTGCTCACCCAAGAACGCCGAAATATAGAGATGTAAGCAACCGTTTTACAGCTAGTCAGAACACTGGTCCAGCTGGGTCAAAGGCATCAGTTTTGACTGACGCTGCACCTCAGAGGCTGGATTTCCCTCTTCCCCCCCACCCCACCCCCAGTAGCCCCTGAGATCTATTTAACTAGGGCTATCATTGCTCTGAGGATGGAACTCTAACACAGATTGAATGCAAATATCAGCTATACTGGGAAATAATCGGCATTGGAAGTATCTGCTGAAGACCGCAAGGGAGCGTTTTTAGCCTCTTAGAACCTTAGGGTTGAAAGGCCTCCTTAAGAAAACAGGCCGGGTTCCACAGTGATCGGAATGACCTCAATGTATGACTTTAATCAGGTAGACTGGCCCATTGTGACAGGGCCCGACCCTCCGTGGGCACATTTCCATTCCTCTTCAATCTGAAGCTTTGCTCCAGTCAAGCTGGAATGGCCCACAGGAGGCACGGAGGACGGATCCAAGACAAGAAATGCTTGTTCCCCTACAGCAAGGATGGGCCTGAAATTACGGAGTGTGATACCTCAACCAGCTGTGTTGGTGGCAGAAAGTGGGAGGAGATTTATAGCTAAAACAAAGGTGGTAACTGGATTTCCACATTTTAGCACCAACAAAGCTGTGGAGTTTCCCAAAGGAGGTGACAGATAAACTGATTGAAAGGTTTTAAGGAACTGAGTGAGCATCACCTGGAGAAAGGAGTAAGATCAAATACGATCTGGAAGGTGAACTCAGAGAGATTAAGATGGACCATTTTAAATATGCACTGTACAGATGAAAACCAGTAGCAGACATTGGGCCTCACCATGCTTGACCTTGATTGGGCTTGGAAGCTATAGAGGTTCAGGCTGGGTTAAACTCGGATTGGGACTGGCAAGGAGTCCCAGTGTGGTAGGCTTGACGGGAAAGTGAGCCACCCCCCCCCAGAAGACATTGGCAACCCCCTTCTGAACAACTGCTCAGAAAACTGCACCCTTCCTTTCCATCCAAGAATTCTATATTCATGCAGATGTAGAATGAACGAAGGAAAATTAGCCAGCAAACCGTAAAGCTGATAAAATCATCCCAAGAACTGAAGTATTAAAAGTATGTCTTAGAAGAAAAGAACAGCATGCTTTTCGTTAGGGCTTTTCGAGCTCCCAAAAATCAAACCGTGCCCCACTGCCTTCAGAAAGGAAGTAGTGAGACGGAAAGAGGGGACAGGTTCAGCTAAGCACCCAGCCGAAAGGTTAACCTCAGACCTTCCTGCAGAAGTCAGTTCTAAGAGGAGGGGCCGAGGGCTGCCCAGCCCCCTCGAGAGTCTCCTGTGCAACCTTCAAGAGATGCTCCTGGTGCACAGACCTTGGCTGCTAATGCAAGAGAAGCCACAAAGCAAGAAGGACGATGTACGTTATCCAGACCTCTGGGGGAAGCCGGGAGAGGAATCTGGTTCTGCTGTGACAGCCCGTATAGATGGGGCGATCTTCCCCCAGAGATACCCACAAAAAGACAGCCCCGCTGAAGAGAGGGAGGGTTCCGTCCATGCAAACATATGCAGGCTGATGCTGTTTTCCATCTCCTCACGAGAAAACTCCACCGAGGGACTTCCTCCCAGCTACCTGAGGCTAAGCTCCCATTTCAAACATGCTGGAATAACATCCCAAGATCGCGTCTCCTCTGCTCCTTCCAGTCCCTGTCACACAAAACGTTTTTGTTCTCTTCCCGTCCAGGCATGAAAGCGGAGGTGGAACGCCTGCCCAGAGCCACAGCGATTATTCCCAGACCCCGCTGAGATAACGTGTTCTTAGGGCAGGAAAACAGCCTCAAATCCTCCCCTCCCGCCCTGCATCTCGCAAGCCTTCCTAGATGGCCGACGAGTGTTCCTTAAGGCTGGCTTGACCCAGGCGAGCCGTGCGCAGCCATATCTTTGCACCCTCTGCCATTTCGGACCAGCAGATGTGGCACGTTCGCAGAGCCACACGGCTGCCCCCAAAAGCCCCCAGAGCGGCCACCTCGGGTCCAAACAGCCCCTTTGCCTGCAAAGACGCTCAGGAGAAGCGGCCGTCGGTCTCCCCCTGCTCGGCAGAGGGCGGGCCCCAAAAGGCAAGCCTCGAATGCCCCCAGCCTTTGAAAAACGTCCCTCCCAAGCAGGCCAGAGAAGATGCCGAGTCCACCAGGGCGTCTTCCGCTCATCACCCGCCACTAACCGTTGCCGTTGTCGCGGCACCTCCGCGGAAAGCTGCAGCCGTCCGGACTTTTGCTGCCTTCCTCCGGCTCCCACTCCCTCTCCGGCAGGGCGAGAGCTGCCGCTTGCTAAAGAGGTGCCGAAAATAACCGCCCGGCCACAACTGCTTTTATTCCAGTGACAGGTGTGTTACTAAGTTAAACTCCACACATGTCTCTGAGGCTGGGGCTTCGTGGATGGAGGCGGCCTTGGGGGTTCCCTTCAGCTAAAGGTGGGGATTCTTTGGAAAAGTCGGGGTGCCAACCGCCGGCCCACGGGGTTGCCTGGCATGCGTCTGGGCGGTCAGGAGGCGCGTCCTGGGTTCCGCTCTGGGCTTCGGTCCCTTTGAAGCGCCAGGAGGAGGCTGGGCAGGCGAGGGGCAGTGCTGCTTGCAGACCCCCGAGCGAGCAGTGGGTGCAGACGGGATCCGAGGATTTGCTCCCGCATCTCGTCCCCCACTACCTGACGCATATTTGTTCTATTTTTATTTTAGTTAACATAGAGGCCATCTGACTCCCCAACGACTCTGGGCAGCTGACAACTAAAAACCGACCGAATTCAAGCACCTACAACAACCAGAGAACACAAAAACAGTGAAGCAAAGCAACACCAAAGGGGGCTTTACAGTCAGCTTGTCCCCAGACCCTGGAGAACCACCAGACCTTCAACCGCTTCCTGAGCAAGCATGAATTGAGCAAGGTCAGCCTCCAAATGCAGCCACTGTATAACTGCTTTGCTCCTTCCTGATCAGCCAGGCCTTCTGATCACTCGTGTTACTCGGGGGGATCTCAGCGTTAGCCCTTCCAGCAGCCTGCTGGATGGAGCCAATCCAGCGTTCTGCATTTCTTCCTTCAGTCATTTCTTATCGCTTCTGTCCCACCTCCTCACCCATGAGGCACCCAGTGTCCACCACCCATGAAATCCGGAACGGCTTTTTTCCACTTCCTCTCTCGTGCCCCCCGATCGTTCCCTGTCCTAACCAAGAATCCCCAGCATTGCTACAGATGCTTTTCAAGTGCCGTGCAGTAGAAGAACAAGAATTCTGTGATGCTGGGAGAGGGCAGTGGATGCGGTGGCAAAGGACCCTGGGTGGAGGGCTCAGAGTAGCCCATCTGCTGCCCAGGGCCCTCTTCTGGCCCTGCTGGACTCGTCTGCTGATGAGGAGGAGGAGGAAGGAGAGAAAGGGGCCTCTAGAGATAATAGTCCGGGGGCTTGCTGGATCTGGCATTATTGGCTTCAGCATTGCTGGAATCACTCCTTCCATGTGATCTCATTCTCCCAGGATTGGAACAGCCTCTTAATAGCGACTCACTGAACTTATATTGTGGTGGTACGGAATGCCCACAAACATTCCAGCTGTCCCGGGGAACAACCCTATTAAAATGCTTGTGGTCCAGCTTCTTTGAAGACGTCTTAAATGGTCCGTACAGGGCCAGAAGGAGCCAAACAAAATTCCACAGGGCTGCAAAGAGGCAGTTTGTTCAGAGCCTGAGATGCAAAAGGGCAAACGCTGGAGGGAAGGAACACGAAATTTCTTATATCCGCGTGGTCTCAACATCGCTGTTCTAACCCAAATAACAACCGAAACAAAGGTTGCAGAGGATGTCCAAAGCGCTTTTCTATCCTGACTCAACTGGGAAGGGACAAACTCTGAAGTGCAGCTGCATCGGGCCTCTCTTACAACAAGTGCACATCACTGATCCCTTGCAGAGGGACATGAACGGAAGTGAATGCAAATTTAAAATGGCCCGTTGCAGAGGAGTGCCAGGGGTAAAAACGGAAATTCTCCAAAAATCCTAAGAAGAAAGTACAGTCCTCTGGGCTAAACTCCTTGTCATGCCAGTTAACAGTAATTAGCAGGGCTGTCTGCAGGATACGGTCCAAAACGTGAAGATGGTGGCTGCCGTGGCGTGATCAAGCTCTACCTCTTTTTGACGTGCGCTGCATTTAGCATGCATTGCACGTAAAAAAACCAATGCAGCTTGGATCACGCCCTGGCCGCCGCCATCTTGACTTTTTGGACCATATCGTGCAGACAGCCCTGCTGACTAGGGCCCTTCACGGAGCAAATGGGAAGGGCCCCCACCCAGGAGGGAGCCCCCTCCCCCCCGAGCCCCCGCCT